GAACCTGTAACTCTTTGTAGTATGTGTTTGTTTACAGTCAAGGAGCAAAGGGACTTTTCTTGTTTGGCTAGGAAATGAAGATTCAAAGGATCATAATAACTGCCCTGAGTTATCTAACGTGCTGGCTATAGAGGTGGTGGTTAGATAGGTTAGATTCTGGGTGAGTCTAAAGCAGTGATGGCAAATCTTGGGCACACATGTCTCAGCAAGCTGTTTGTATCATTGAAAAGGTTTGTCATCACTGGAATAACAGAGTTGTATTTTGTTACAAAGAGATGGATTTTTGTGCACTGCTGTATAAGGCAGAAGATCATTTCCAGGCTGTTTTGTGAGCCCCTAGCACTGGTGATCAAAAGTGGGGTGAATTAGCATTCCAACAATATAGTAAACAGGATGTCTGCATGTGTCAAAGACTGGGAAACTTCCAAGTTCTTTCCAAATCTGTATAAAGGTGGTAAGATTCAGTTATTGGGACATGCTTTTGAGTTTGATGGTTAGGTAAGACTCCTGGTTCACCCATTTACTACCTCTGTGACCTTGAGTAAATCAATTGAACTTGTTGAATTTTAGTTTCATTAATTTTGAACAAAGTTAATGATACGTACTTTTATAAGATCATAATGAGGGTTTAGTGCAGTTATGCATGCCTGAAAAAGAGCGTGTGGAAACTGACAACAGCTCAACATGTGTTAGTTGTAATGTCTGTCCCTGCCTTCATCTCTGCACTAAAATGTACACTATTTCTCCCTTCATTGGCTCGCATGCTCCTTGGTCTGTAACTCTCTATCCTGGATACCTAGATTGTAGGCATCTTTCCAGACCTCACTCAAATAGCATTACCTCCAGTGCTTCAGTGTTCTCAATACCTTGAATACCTCCTATGACAATCCTGTCCCTCCACTAACTGATGGTAATGCTTCATTCATTTCACTGGAAACTCTAGATTCTATTCTGTGTTCCCTATCTGAAGAAAAATGACAAATCAGTCAACCACTTCGGTCATTGCCCTTATAAACACATTTAGCTTTAAACTCTGATGATCTCACTGGGAGTCCATCATCCCAGATGAGTCTTTTTTTTATCAGATTTTTGAGTCAATGAAGTTTTAAAACATGAAATTCAGCACAATCCTGTAGGTTGTTCTTGTACCCTTTCCTTTTACTTTCCTTAGGAGAGCTCCAGGAAATACATCACTCTACATTTGTTTTAAGTTGGTGTCAAACATTTTTACTTAAGTTAAAGTGTTCATTCAACACCTGAAGTTCATCAGGAGCTATCTTTGACACTATACATCCTTTGAAATTCTGTTCAAATATAATACTAGATGATTTAATAGCTTATTTGGATTTAAAATTCAAGTCTGCTTTCATTTTGTTAACACAACTCAGCATTTTGGTTCAAGATGCTAATGATGATAATTGGGCCCAAAAAATCTACATGAGAAAAAGATGAGTTGCAAATTGGGAAGAGGATAGAACACAAAGGCCAAATCTGTATAAACATTACTATACGGGACAGAATGGATAGCCACTTCTATTTATATGTTAATTATTCCACTAAGTCCTGGAATAGACCATTTAATGATTCTGTCGGTCTCCCAGGGTAAACATAAGAGCAGCCTATACTAGTTGTCTCTGTGTGTGTGTGTGTGTGTGTGTGTGTGTGTGTGAGTGTGTGGGGAGGGAGTATTTGTTGAATTTAGTGCTTCTCCTTTCCAATAAATGAGAAAATGCTTACTGCTTACTTTAATGTAAATTCTTCACTGTATTGTTATTTAAAAGGAAACTGCAGAAGTGAGCGAGATTACTATTAAAATGAAGAGCTTCATGTGTGAAATGGTTTGGATTTATAAGGATGAACATCATGTTGTCTCCCTAGTATAAAATATTGAAAGAGTTAATGGTATTCAAAATGTACAACACGTAGTGTGAAGGTGAAAGGGGAGGAAATGTCTAAAAAGGGAAGGTGGTAGCCACTGTTAATTCCCAATTACCTTGTTTTGAAGTCCTGTTTCATCTTTATTAGTTTGTTTGGTTTAGTTTTATTCTGTTTTGTTTTGTTAGATTCTATTATGTCTGATGGTATGGGCAGCTATTTTGAAGATAACAAGATATACTATGGTAGCCTTTGTTGATTTCCTATTTTCTTGTTTTGAAGCGCTGTATCACTTCCATTGTTTTGTTTTCAGTGGTTCTATTCTGTCCTGTTTTGTGTGATTTTTATCATTTCTATGGTATGGGTAGCTATTTTGAAGATAATAAGAGGCATTATGGTAGCCATTATCTTGTTTTGAAGTCCTATATCACTCTCACTGTTTTCTTTTAATTGGATTTATTGTTTCATTTTGTTTGATTTTATTCTCTTTAAAATAAACTTAAAAAATAAACTAAAATGAAGAGCTTTTTCCTTGAAATTGCAGGAAATATTTTCCTCTTTGGGTGTAAGATTTGTCCATGATTGATTTCCTGACCACTAGTTTTAGTCTCCCAGTTTGCAGGGGTAGACCTCCAAGCTGTGGCATAAACATGCTATCCATATCTGAGTGCGGGGCTCACCTCTTAGTCAGCCCTCTGCATACTAGAGGCTGAGAGAACTCTGCCTTCCTGGAATGGTATCATGAGAATGGCAATCAGTCTGTGAGGAAGATAGGAGTGAATATTCTTATACAGTACATGGCACTGAGGTTATAATTCAAGTAAAAAAATAGAAGAGTCCATGATATTAAGATGCAGGAAATGAAGTAGGGGACTAAGAAGATCCTATACTCCATCAGCATGCCACTTTCACCAGCAGTACAGCCCGGGGCATGGAGCATCACTACTGCATTTATAAAGTAGAGATTATCATACATCAGTAGCTACAGATAAGGATGGACTTCAGGGCCTTTTGATTTTCTTTTACCACTAAAATACAGAATTTTATTTGACAACTTAATTATAAGTGACTGAAAGAAGAGAAGAGACTGACTACTTGGCCTGACTATACACAGAGCTCTCACTGAAGAAATGGTCTTCATGGGCTTCTTCTTGGGCTATCCTGGGGTGGAATGGCAAAAACTCCAGACATTCTTCACTTATTGGGAGAAGACAGGTTTACAGGGAAGCAGCAACAGAAGTGCACAAGGGCATTGCCTAGAATCTTTTTGCATATAAGATATTAATCTTAAACAACTTAAACAACAGCTCAATCTCTTCTATCCCTAACAAAGTATGTCTTTTAAAGAAATTCTGCAAATCCTGCCCACCATTTGTCTCTTTTAAATGAACTCATATTTATCTCCAAAGCACATATATGGTACCTGTGCATAAGTATAATAGAAGGCCACAAGAAGGACTACTACTTTCTGTTTTCTAACAGTTATTTTGGAAGTGCTTTAGCACGTAGGTGCTTGCAAAACTGGTTTCACCATATCCAGGTTCCAAGGGAAAACACTAAGTTTTTTTCAGTTTGAATCTTCAGTGCCTAGGACATTACTGCCTTCACAGATTTTTTGCTCTGATTTTTCAGAGTACAAAGATTAATTAGATAGTATAATTTCTCCTGCAGAGTCTGCTCCGTCCTGTCCTATCCTGAACACTTTTGAAGCATGCTGTGAGTCTCTGCATGGAGGCCTTAGCAGAGTTTTGATGCATAAGTCAGTCTGTCTGAAAAGGAAATCAGGGAAAAGCCCAGGTAGTTGGCATTCATAAATTCTGCATGCTGATAACATCTGTCAGAAATGCATTTCACTTAAACAACACGCACAGTGTAAGCTATTTTGCAGTGAACTTACATATTCCACACATGTGATCATCACTGCATCTACCTGATGAGAAAGAGCTAACAGAATTCATGGGTACCGCTGAGTGAGTTTCCAGAAGTGAGTGTTGCCTGCACTGCTTAGAAGCGGTAAAAACTTTTTCTTGAAGGCTCCATGAGCCTTAGGTTCTCCATCAAATAACTACAATCAAGAAATTTCTGCAAGAGAAAAGGTCAGGGATGCTGTGTGTCCCTAGTTCTCTTCAAAAGTATTTTACAAATGGCCTCCATTATGGCTATAGTCCCCGTAGACCAAGCTGACACTGAATAGAAAAAAACTCTGGGTGTAATTTTCTGAGAAGGCAGTGACTTGATGGCTCCAGACATCTGAGAGTGGTGAAGGAGAGAAAGAAATGGTTTTAACTGACCACTACAGCCATCTGACTCCATGCAGCTATGACCTCTCACAGCAGAGGTCAAAGTTCAATGACTGTAGTTACATCAATAAACATGAGCCATCCTGTTTCTGTGGCTCTGACGGTTGAATCTATTCCTTGACTGTACTCCCGAACATCTGGCCCCTGAACTGCCCTAACCCTCTGCAACAGCTTTCTCACTTGTTCCCCTGCCTCTGGCCTGACCCCCTCTCATCCATTCCCCTCTGCAGCCCTTTGTGATAGACAGAGCTGATCCCGCTACTTCTTCACTACTAATGAGCCAGGGGTTCCCACTGCCTGGGGATAATTTCTAAATTCTTCATTCTGGCTAATGGCCCTTGTGTGATTACTGGGTCTGCTCTCTAGTCTCATTTGTCATCACTGCCATCTCGTTTCAGTGACAAAAAAGCTCTTTCAATCTCCTCATGTTGGTTGTGCTCCCACACTTAAGCCTTCCCATGCAAGCTGCTTCTTGCCTGGAACAATCTCCTTTTGCTCCCCTAATTCCTACTTGACCTGTATCTCAACCTGCAGGACACTCCCTTTAGGAAACCTTCCCTGTCACTGGGCTATTCCTCAGGATTTTGTACTTCTAATGATACTTGCCACATGGGCCTGCCTGTCTGTCTATTCTGCTCCCAAAGCTAAAGCTCTACAGGAATGAGGATTGGCTTGTCATGTTTCTCCTGAAGCTTCAGCATCTATCATAGTTACTGGGCACACAGTAGGAGTTCAGCTAATATTAGTTGAATCAGTATTATGTGCCAGGAATTTCTAGTCCTAACATCTCAGGAGATAAGAAGGGATTCGCTAAACCACACTCACCATTACAGGTACAACGCACATTCCTATAAAAACGTGGACACACAAAACTGATGCGAGCTGTGCTGTAGGTCATGAGTGCATGGGAATCCAATGACAAGCCTTGCTCACAGTGCTGCTCCTGACAGTCCAGCCCTGAGCAGTTCTTCTCCAGGATGGCTGCGATGCGAATGACATTCTCCAGGTGCCGCCTGGCACTGGACAGCTTTTGGATCAGGTAGGCTGGCTTGTAGAACTCACTGCTGTGCATCTCCACAGCAAATAGCATGTCCAGCTGGTTGGTGCCTGCCACGGGCTGGATGCTGATGATGTGCAGGCTGTCCTGTTTCTGGGTAAGGACTGCATTCCTCAAGGTACGCCGGAAGCCATGCATGTGCAGACCCACGAAATCCTCAGGGGACACATTCTCAAAGCGGATGGTGACAGTGTTCTGCAGCATCTCATGCACCAGTTGCTCCACATGCACAACCACATCGATGGGCACCTGGAAGCGGCCATCACTCACAGACACATTCAGGACATATTTGCCACTGTCCAGGCCTCCCAGGGCAATGATTTTCCCATCGTGACTGTTGACTTTGAACAAACTTTTCTGCTCTGATTTCAGGGCAAATGTGAGCACGTCATACATATCTTGATCTGTGGCATGGATTTTTCCAATAACCCCACCAGGAAAATCATCCTCCATGGTGACAATGAAGATTTCCAGGGGGATGGCTGTGGGCTTGTGGATACTTTCTTCAATGACCCTCACACGGATATAGGAATGAGAAACTTGCTGTGGTTTTCCTGAATCCTTTGCCTACGGCAATCAAGAAAGGAAAAAAATAAAGGATTGAGAAAAACATAATAAATTTTAAGAACCCTTCAAATGGAAGACATCTATAGTTTTAAACAGACTTGCTTCTTCCTCTATTCCTGTCACTATTCTTAAAAATGCCGAGGATGTGCATTTACATAAGAGGAATGATTTATCACCTTCAGTTCCCTTATGTACACTTTGTTATGGATAATAAAATGTGTCAACACAATAAAACCAGTGGGGGTGAATTGAGGAGGAGGTTGGGAGTGCTATGAGACCCAACATGCCCACAACAGGCTGGCCTTGTTTATATTTTGGATAAAAACCACAGGGAAAAACCACATAAAATGCATTTCCACTTAAAGAAGGAATCTTTATTCTCTGTTAGTTTCTTTCCTTTTGACTGGACTGAATGGCACCTTTCCACACATTTAAAAAAACAACATTATTTAAGTGGGAATTACATCAAAGTGCAGTTTAGAATAAAAAGTAGCACAAAAAGAAGAAAACAAGTAGCATGGAAAAAAAAACCCTTTCTCTTGCTTCTTTATGTAAAAATCAGTGGAACAAATCACTGACAACAGATCTTTGCTGAGCACCTGCCACATGCAAGATGGAGATAGTTAGTGGTTCAAGGCTTCACAAGAAGGACATATTCCTGTGGATTGGCTGAACTGGGAGGGATCTGTGGGTGTACGGTCACAGTGATCTCACAGGTCTGGCAGGAAGGCAATGTAAGAGCAAGTGCCAAGGAGACATACAGATAAAACATTGAATTGCTCATGGAGTTGAATGAGTTTAACCTATGCAAAAATATTACATAGTAAAATGCCATGCAAATATAAAAAATGAATATTGCTACCATCGTCACCATAGGTTGCTCTCTGTGATTAACTGTGGGCTTAAAAAATAACTGCTTTACTGATGGGATCCAAATCTTGGTGTTGGAACAGTTACTACGCTGGGAGTTTCGTGTGCTTCTCATCTTGTTATACAGCCTTTGCACACCTCCGACTTTTGCCTTCTGTCTCATTTCATGTCACACAGTCTGGTGACCTTGAGGAACTTAAATGGTGGGAAGCTAGTGCCAGCTGAGTCCCTGGTTTCCTCTTGTCTCCTGGGGAAGGCCTACCAAGCAGAGGCCACAATAAGGCTAAATTCCAGCAAGACAAGACTGATAGCTTCCTCAAATGAAGTAATGGAATGTAATATTCAGTATAAAGCAACAAGCATTGATCAAATAATTGTCTTTGTGGGCCATTTAAGACCCTGAGAATTTTCAAAATGCAAATTTAGGCCTAATAACTGTCTACTAGACACAAGCTACAGGAAAGTCTTTTCTGAACAATGCACATCCCTTCCTTCCTGTTCATTTTCACACAGAGAGACCATTTTTATTGGTGTGAAATTGAATTTGAGTTTAAAAGAACATTCCTTCACTGTAATGAATTATGCTGACAACTCAACAAAGAAAAACCAATACAAGAGAGAAAGATGCACTAGAGAGAAAGGTGGTCTGAAGCGGATGGAGATAAGGCCATACCTGGACACACAGCACATATTCTGGAGAATCTGTGTGTTGGAAAACCACTGCTGACCGCAGGATCCCATGAGAATCCAACACAAACTCCTCCTCTTCATTTCCCGACAAAATTGAGAATGAGAAGGGAGGACCATTATGAAAGGAGTCTCTGTCTGTCACCACCAGCTGCAAGATGCTGGTCCCCACTGGCTTATTCTCCTGCATAAAAGAACATAGTAAAAAGGAAGATAAAATTATACCTCTCTTCATATAAAAAAACAAACAAAACAAAACAAAAGCAAAATAAAACACCATCGCATACTGAGAGTGCTATGCTAGAAAACCAGGCTTTTAGTGGAAGGGATTCCCTGTGATATTATCTTATCTTTGAAAACATACTAGCCTCTGCAAGTACCTGTTTCTCATCTGTGGATATCTTCCAACTACTCCCCCAAGAGATGGTATACTACTGGTGAGCACACAGGCCCTTCTTTGAATGGTGGTAGGTTTTACAGACATTATAGGAGACACCTTGTCCTCCACTGGCTTGCAGTACCCTTGGAGAGCTCCTTCCAGCCTTAGTGTCTATGCTGGAAATTCTCTCAGGACAGGAAAGCATTGCCTTCTGGTGATAGGAAGGCATCCCTCACACTTATCACAGCCCCAATTATGCTGAGGCCTGAGCAGCACTCTCACACAATCTCACAATATCAGACATCTTGGGGGAATGCTGGGAACTTCCTAGTCAAAACACAAAGGCTTAAGCTAGGTAGATTATTGAACTTACATTTACACCCCAAGAACACAGTTTTGCCTGGTGAGAGAAAGCACATAGAATATTTCTCAACTTCAGAGTAAAGAGAAAAGGAATCTTTTTTTCCCCTCTTTTTTCGTACTGGGGATCCAACTCATGACCTCACACTTGCCAAGCAAGTATTTACTCCACTGAGTTAAACCCTGGGACCCGAGAGAAGGAATCTTTAATTAACTTTGTCAGGATTATTGGGAGAGCAGACACTGTAATGTAATCATTATTTTGCAAATCTCTCTGCCTTTTTCCCCTCATGGGAAAACAAAAACTCATTTTAGTTCCTTCTTGGGTCAAAAGTTATCTTCACTTTGAAAGTCTGGATTACATTCTGTGTAGCCCTTGCTCCATTGTTTGGACTTCAGCATTATCCAACCATCACTGGTCTGCAGTCTGTTGTATGTGTTCAGGCTTCTCACAAGATTGACTTAAATGGGTTTGGTCACAAAAACAGAGACACTGATCCGCAGCAGAGTTGAAGGTAGGCCCACTCAAGTTTTATATGCTGAACTGGTCTTAATGAAATCCCTGTGTCAGAATGAAGAAATTGTTCTGGGCTGGAGAAAGGAGGCATCTATTTCAAAGGTGAAAGAAAAGAGAATCTCACAGACCTCTTATTCGTTCCTTCTCACAAGAACTAGACATGGCCTCCCTCTGGAGCCCATCAGGGGATTGCCTCAGCTCAGAGAAGATTTACTGTTTCACATTGGCTACATAGTCAGCACTGCACAAAACAAAAGATTGATTGATTTGTTTGCTTGATCTATAAAGGCTGTTTCCTCCACAGAGAGAGGAAGAGAAAGAGAATGTGTGCCCTTGGGTCACTATCTGAGAATGTAGGGTATAAAATACCACAGGCGGGCCCAGTCCTGTGGAGAAGGGCCCTAGCCACCACTCACAGGTTGAGACTTGTTCCTTCACCACTGACTTCCTGTTGTGCATTTGAAAACAGCCTGTCACGTTGATAGATGCATGCTATAAAACTGAACACAGAGTAGGAAAAGCCCATTTGTTTTGGGTAAAGCACACAGTGATGGCGAGACAGAGAGTGAGCTCCCTGGTAGATGACAGTCAGTGGCACAGCAATCTGACAGAAGGAAATGGAGGACAGTGAGGGCTCTGGTGGGAGCAGCACAGTGATCCACATACACAGCTGCATCGGAAGAAGCATCGGAGGACTGGCAAGTTGAAATCCTCCCAGGAAGGAACAGGATTGTGCTGATAAAGGACAAGTGGATGGTTCAGCAGACTGGGAGCAGGAGAAGGCAGCTGTCAAAAGTCAACTCAAAAGTCTTCAAGGTTATCCCAAAGAGCTCTTAAGACTCGGCACACTTGCACCTTTTCTTCTATCCACAAAGCTCTGGATGATTTTGTAACCAAACTGGCATCAATATGTGTGCCAGGATACACACATCAGTTTCTGTCTACTCCAAGTCCTTCACAATATTCCTAGGCTGGATTTCCAGATCCTTCTAAAATTGGGCTTCTAGCTTCTAGAAATATTGGAAAGTAGGTAGAGGAAGCTCTGCTTCTAGTACCATGCTCATGACATATCTTGTGAATAAAAAATAAATGGAAAGGAGATTCATTCTTTCTGAGAGCAGAATGCCAGAAGTGTGTTACTTTATCTTGAAATCTAATTTTAAAGAGCAGATGTATTTAAAGTACCATACAAATTGCTTATGGAACATTAATTTTAATGATTAGCAGCTCTATCCTGATGACTAACCTCCCTTTGACTGATGAGATGGCTCATGTCAATCTCTCTCCCCTGTCAGAATAGCAGTTGTTTGAAGATAATAATCTGACATTATGAAAAGAGAGGGCTTTTTTTTTCCCTCAGGAAACAGACTCAAGTTCAAATTCTGACTCTGTCACTTATCAGCTGCACAGTCTTGGATGAATGACTTAACCTACACCTGTAAAGTGAGTGTCAATCCACAATGTCACTTCACAGTTTGCTGTTGGGACAGATTGTATAGATAAAGCATCTAACACTGAAAGAAACTGGTCATTGAAAATTCTTGCTAATGTTTATTCATCAGTTATGCCAGAAGAACCAGGCTCTTCACACTCGTTCTGTGAATGGAAAGTAGATATTAAGCAATACTAACAAAAGCCCTAATGAGTGCTTTGGTCTGAATGTCATGTGTCCTACTGTTTCTTAATGAAACAGTACTGAATGGAAGATCCATTGGGAAGGATGAATGTTCTTATAAAAGAGACCCAATACAATTTGTTAGCATTTTCTACCATTTGAGGACACAACTAGATGTCAGCATCTAGCAGAGACCAAGTCCTCATCAGATGCAAAATTTGATGAAGTTTGCTATTAGGTGTCCCAGCCCCCAAAACTTTCAGCAATAAGCCTCTGGTGTTTATAAGCCAGCTAGTCTAAGTCATTTTGTTATACCAGCTCTAACTCACTAAGAAAATGAACAAACCACATCAGAAGACAGAGGCTGAATTCATATAGACAAGTGCCTTGCAGTCAAGATTTGCTTACCTGAATCACAGCAGTATAGTTGGCAGGTGTAAACACTGGGCTGTTGTCATTCACATCAGAAATATCAATGTTGACAGTGGCAGTTGATGACATTGCAGGAATTCCACCATCTACTGCTTGGACAAGCAGGGAGTATCCGGACACCTAGTAAGGCACAAAGAGGTAATAATAAAAGAGTACAGTGCTCGCTTTCTTCTCTACATGCTTAGCTATGTTTTGTTAAAGATCAACCATCTTCACCTGGATTCTCTAGATCACGATTTCCCAACATCTTTCTTACTGGCATTTGGAGATGGGTAATTCTCTGTTGCTGGAACTGATTTATATATTGTAGGATGTTTAGCAACATCCCTTGCTTCTACCTACTAGCAGCCACTATCACACTCTTCTCAGTTCTGACGATCAAAAATGTCTCCAAGTTTCCCTCTAAGAACATTGACACTGGGCTTTTGTTCAACACAGCAGTGGTCACTACTGCCCTATACGGTCACTTTTAATTTTTCTGGCATCATGGGAATATATCACCTAGTGGATTCTATCTGATTTTTAATATCAATTTTATATTTTATTTCTCTTTGAAGACACATATTTTTGGTCAAGAAATAAAATGTTCAGAAACTTAGTTTATGTTAGAGAGATTTTCTAGATTTCTTTCTGGCCTGTATGCCCTCAGTGATACTTTTGTATCTGCTTGCCTAGGGCTAAAATTGCTCATGAAATCAGTCCCATATATGCTTTACTGACCCACGCTGTAGGAGGAACAGACACTCAAATGACCCAGACAGATACATACTTACAGATACATACTTTTTAAAAAAATCTTCATCAATAAGAAATTTCCAGTAGCTGTTATTGGCAGAAAATTCTTTCAAAAATTTAACCCAAATACTACTTTATGCTACGTGTTAGCCCACCTCTATTTATTCTTATTTGGAACAGAGAACCTCACTCTTTATTCTCGTGTAACCTGTGCCAATGATTCCAGGGAAGGGGTAGAAGTTGAATGGGAGTAGAGCTGAGCTAGACTAGCTTACCCGTTCTCGGTCCAATTTCTTCTTAACTTTCACAAGTCCCAAGACAGGATCCACAGCAAATTCATTGTCTCGATCTCCACTCACAATGGAAAAACGGATCTGTCCATTAGGCTGACTGTCTACATCTTCTGCGATTAGCTAAATGGAAAACAGGCAAAATGAATGTAAGATCTGATGTCAGAGAGAACGTGTTTATTGTTAGACTAACAATCATAGGAGCCCTGTTCACCAATGCCAGTGATCAGTCTTAAGCAAAAGAGATGATAGATTTACACTGGAGCCCTATATTTATTTATTTTTCTTAATTTCCACCTGCGTACAGCCTGATACTTATTAGGCTTGATTTTCCTCACATTTTAAAGCAGTGAGAATGGAGCCCAAAGCTAACTTATGGGAATGTTTCATGATTCCTTCACAATTCTGCAAACAGTGGTCTATGTTACTGAGTTGGGCATTCTCTAAACATGTGCATCTCCACATAAGGAATCAAGAAAGCTTCCTTTTCTTAAACAACATACATGACTGCTAATCCATTTTGGTAAGGCTGGAATTTGCTGGCATGGATAAGAGTCTTGTACTAATCAGGAGACTCAGAGGGCCTGGGAAGTCTACCTGTGATTATAGAAAGAAAGAGGGCTATGGCCACTCACAACCTGACACTGTGGAAACTAGAGAAAAGATGGATGGGTGGATGGATGCATGGATGGATGATGAGACTTATCCAAATTCAGGGTCTGTCAAGGTGGAAAGAAAAGCACTTATTGTTTCTAAAGTGTAATTTGTTGCCTAAGGGATTCTCAGAATACCATGCTTATTCTTCTAAATGCTATTAAAAAATCCTTCACAATTTTTAGAGGGCTCCTCTAAGAGTGGGCAATCAGTCTCAAACTTACTCTTGTTTATAGCTGCCCTCACTCTGTGGTGTGTGTGTGTGTGTGTGTGTGTGTGTGTGTGTGTGTGCATGTGTGTGTGCGTGTGTGTGTGTGGTAAGAATTTCATTCTATTTTTAGTCACCTATTAATTTTTCAATTATAAAATGACAAATTAGAGTTGATATATTTATGAAACACAAAGCGATGCCATGATTTATGGAGATCATGGAGAAAAATTAAGTGAGTAAATTAACATATCAATCACCTCAAAAGGTTTTTTATTTTTGTGTTGAGTTTAAAATATATAATACATTATTTATTCACCACACTGCAAAGTAGATTTCAAAAAGAAGAAAAGAAGGAAGAGTGATCTTCTATATACTCAGTAACAACATCAATTTAGATGTAAATTTACACAGACTAGTAGAAATCACCATTAAATTTTCATATCATGGTCTGTCTTGGTTTCTTGAAAATTATGCACTTTTAGGTGAAAGGAGATTATTAGTCACTTGTACTTTGATATAAACTAATCTTTCAGGTCCTTTCTAATATACACTCTGAAGAACTCTATCACTGAAAGATGCAGATCTGACTGGCATTCTTGGAGACACAATGGAAGAACTACAATATAAACCTTGCTAACCTTCACTTTAGTCTAGTCCGAGACATCTGGACACCCCTGGCACCTACCAAAATGACAGAGTCCCCCACCAAGGCATCTTCACTGATGACAGTGCTGTAGACATCTTGGCTGAACTTTGGAGGGTTGTCATTCACATCTGTGAGGTTGATGCTGACGGTGGCTGCAGCACTGAGAGCAGGGGTTCCCCCATCTTTTGCTTCCACAACCAGGTAAAATCTTTTGCATGATTCATAGTCCAGGGCTTCAGAGACAGAAATACCCCCTTTGAAAAAAATGGGAAATTTCAGATTTGACCAGGGAAAAACACTGGTCATCTGTTTCATAATTGTGGTAATACTTGTAATGTCACTTTCAACCAGGATTTTACTTAATACCTCCCTGGAAGAATTCCAGAAGAGTGATTAATGCATTCAGTTAAAGCACAGCTATACATCAAATACAATACTGGAGAAGAAAAATCCTTGTAAGTTTTCCATAACAGGTTTTGAACATCTTTGACACAGCATGAAAATCTTTGTTCTTGCATCTTGGGTGTAGGGATAGTGAAAATCATCTCTGATAAGCTTCTCTTGATTCCCCAACACCAGAAGATCAAGAATGAGTCAAGATGTGTGGATGTTGTTGTATGACCCTGCTCCCTCTCAGCGTGTAAATACCTGTAGACTTAAACTGAATTTACTTAGCCAGAAAGATGCTTTGCCAAATTATAATGCATGTATGTAAAAAGTACTATGGTGTGGGCTGGGGATTTAGCTCAGTGGCATAAGCGCCTGCCTTGCAAGTGTGTGGTTGTGAGTTTGATCCCCGGTACTGATAAAAAAGAAAAAGAAAAAAAAAAGTACTATGGTGCAAAAAAGGAAAGGATCTCTAGAAGCTTAAGGTATGTGACATAAAGCAAAAGGAACCACCTGGAAATCAGACAATCCAGTGGCCAACTATTAAGTTTGAGTTCACCATCCACACTTGCAGAACATAAATGGTAATCTTGGCCACAGAATTATTGAAATTAAGCAAATAAAAAAAGAAAAGGCAGCTGGTTGGATACCATCTCTAGAAAGGACCCTATATCAGTGCTGCATTTCTCTTGTCCCAGCCTTTCCTGGAGAGGCAACTCAATCCTATGTCTGCAATTGGTAGCTGCTCATTGTATGGCTGCAGAACAATTTCCAAACACATTTGCTTTTCTCTCAACTGGAAGCCATTAGTAGGACAGGGGAGAAGGTCACAGCCATACAACAAATGGAGACTTTTTCTACTCGCTAAGATTGCCTACAGGCTCCTACCATTTCAGGTGAGAAATTGAAATCATATCAATAACAAGAGCCTCTGCCCTGCCATAATTAAGTTTTCTTAGCACTTACCACTCCAGTGCCTTATTTTGCATCCTAGTCTCATTATCTAGTGCCAAATTTAAGTTGTATTTAACCATTTCCCCACGGTGTTCATATACAATGAGCATAACTAGACAGGCAAAAGATAACACGTGTGTAATTAAGGGAAACCCCTTATACATTTTAATTTGAAGTAATGACCTTAATAAACAGAGGTACTGCTGAAAAAAGCTTCTAATGCAGTTCCTCCATCGATATTTCTATCTACTTATAATTAAGGGTGAGGATAGTGTTGCCTGCATTTTTTTCATCTTCACAGATAGTAGTGTTATATTATATGAACCAGCATTCCAGAGTCAGGAAGATCTGAGTTCAAATTCTGAATAACTTACTAACACTGGGGAGTACTGGGGAAATCTTTTAAACTCAATGAATTTGTCTTTCCTGGTTGGCAAATATGAGAAACATCTAAAGATTTAATAGGCATTTAGCCTATTTGCCATGTTAAATAAAGATTGCTAATTATGAACATTTCTACTTTCTAGTTACTGACAACTGAAAAGAGAATAGATTCTCTCTGTCACCTTGCTTAACAGGTACATACTACTTGAATGATGAGGGACATTGGTTCAAAGAGGGGAGATGTAAAAGACTTCTTATCTGAAAAAAAGGAACTACATTGACTATATGAAATCAGTAAACAAGTGAGAATATACATAAAAGTGCTTTTAAACAGAAATCCAAATAGTAGGAAAATAAAAAATGAGTATGTTTAGTTTTCAAAAGATAGTCAAACATCTTTCTTGAGTTACGATTTTATTTATCCAAATTGCCTCTATGACTTAATTCATTGATGAAGAGAAAGACTAACAGCTCTCCTCTTGTTCTTTTGATTTTTATGCAACTTTTCCCTAGATGATGCTAGAGTTCGAAAGAGTGTAGGGAGAAATGATGGCATTGTTACTAAGAAGAGCGAGCAGGGTGTAGGTGCAGCACCATTTCCAGTCAACTGCTGAGTCTACTTAGGGTACTGGTTTGGGAAGGTTTGGGTGCAGATCCCAGACAGAGTACAATCAATGTATGCCTTGGCCAGAGAGACCAGAGAATGGCAGTATAGGTGTAGACAGTGGCTAGCGGAAGCTCATTTCAGAAGCATTTCCCAACACATGCAATATGGTCCGAGTAGGTGGGGAGGGGAATAGAAAGAAGAATAGAAAAGAAAATGCTTTTGCCTGAAATACAAGCACCACTTTATCGCCACACTGAAGGAGTGCATGTATTCTCCCAAGTCCTCCAGAAGTGAATTTGAGAGTCAAATCTTTGTCAAGTAAGCCCATAGATACAAACTTAAACGTAAACAGGAAGCAGGATGCTGGCTTGTATTCTGGGTCTGCATGCAGATCCTGCCACCAGAACACTTGTTTTTTCTGTGAAGGAGGAGAATGAAAAAGAGCCAACCAAGAATGGCAGTTTGAGGGTTGAGAGGAGAGGCGGGACATAGTGGAGTCTTGGATACAAGTAGATTAATACTACCCACCTGTCTTTGGATTGATCCTAAATTTTCCCTGTTCATTTCCAGAGCGGATAAGATATGTAATCTCAGCATTCGTACCAATATCTTTGCTGGTGGCAAAAACAGCTAAAACTTGTGTTCCAGGAGAGGTATCCTCAGGCACTGTTACCAGGTAATCTCTCCTCTCAAACACAGGTGGGTTATCATTGATGTCCAGGACAGTGATCGTAATAGTGGCGATAGAGGACAGGGATCGTTCAGGACTCTGGTCAGTGGCTCTCACACTGATGTTGTAGGAAGACTGCTGTTCTCTGTCCAGTGGCTGCTCCAAGATGATGATACCAGAAGTGCTGTCAATGGAGAAGAAGCCGTTGGCTGAGGTCGCCAGAGAGTACACTACCTTCCTGTTGATGCCTGTGGAAGATAACACAAGAATGTGAGCAGACAGGAACGTGGCCAGGTACTCTGCACTGAAATACTACCACTTTGTTGACTTTTGAAAGGTCACCAGAGAAAAACAGCCGTAACAGAAATAAGGGTGGTCTCAAAGACATGTAAGCTTTAATTTGTAAAACAAAAAAATACAGTTAAATTAAAAGCTAAAGAAACTGGAAAAATATTGGTAACAAGTATCAGAATTAATTGGTTATTCTTAATATATGACTTTCCCTAGATCTAAAAAACTCTGGGATGCTAATAGATACATGGGTAAAGATATACCACAGAAAGGGAAATAGAAATTAATTAATTTAACAAATATGTAACTGGATTACACCAAGCACTATTCTAAGTGCTAGAGCTTTCTTTCTTTCTTTTTTTTTTTTTTGAGTCCAACATTTCTTGATCTAATTTTTATATTCTAGTGAAGTGATGGTTGTGAAGTGTAAACTGTGGAGAGCTAAGAAGTCACTCAAATACTAATGGGATGTCTCCAGTTGGTGGCTGATTGAAAGGAACCCGAAACATGGTCAGTAACTTGTGATAATAAGGGTTGTGACAACAGCATCTTGAATAAAGGTGATGGTGAGGAGAATGGTGAGAAGGTACTGGGTTTCAGATTTCCTCTGAGCACACACGTGGTGAGAAGTAAGGGTGTCTGGGATGTATTCTAAACACAAAGAGGTACTAAAGGAATGTTTTCTGGTTGTGAAACTGGAAGGACACAGGATACTAGAGAAAGAAAGGCCTTCAGGAGGACTTTTGGGCATTAGTCCAAACCTCTTGAAAGAGGGCGTTAGCACCAGCAGAGACGGACAGTGCTGCGAAGGACTAGATGTGGATGACAGACTGGAAGCCCGATTAGGATTAAGTTTGAAATGGGGGTTTCATATTCAGTGGAGCTGTCAAACAGGAACTTAGGTAGAAAATGTTAAGTTTCACAGAACAAGCCCAAGGTGGAGCTACAAATTTGAGGATCATCAGTGTACAGATATGAGACTTGAAACCATGAGACTCGAAGACATAATAGAATACAGAGGAAAAACAGAAATCCAAGGGCCAGTGGGCCTGGAGCACTGCATTAAGAAAGAGCAGCATTAATCCAAATGAACTCTTTCACTCTATTTCAAGAAATGCACTTAATTATCCACACATTATTTATCTAACATAAAATTAAAAAATATCAAGCAGGAAAAGTCCACTAATAATCAACAAATGACTGAATGATTGAACTGACATCTGGCCTGAAGATTGTTTTTGCTGGAGTATCTCAGAATTTCAAAATGTTTTAGAAACCTTGACTTTGCTTTAGTCATTACAATTTATAAGAAGGAAAATGTTACAGTTCTGTTGGTGAAAAAATGGTAGGGCCATTGTGACTATAAGTGTTCTAAATGAAGATAGGCATCAGTCAGAGAGCTATAGTTGTAACAATTATCAGAAAATATCCCTTATGAATCATGGAACCTTGAAAATAAGCTGAGGACTGTGGTTTTTTTTTTTTTTTTCTGTTATAACACCTTATCAAGAAGGTAGACATTTGGCAATACTAGGAATTAAACATTTTCCTTCCTCAATATACAATTTCCCTTAAGTCTAAATTCCCAGCAAACCAATAAAATCATATATCTGGAGGGGATGACATAAATCTCATTATGTGGCTTTAACCAAAAGGTCAACACAGAGATCTTTCTCTTGGTTCCATTCCAGAGAGTCCATTTTTTCCCAAAGTTTCATCATTTACTTTTATTTCTCTTTCAGAGCAATCACCCAGTGATCTATAAATATCAGCCTTTGATTTTATTTGCACCGGTATTGAAAATAAGAGAGTTTTATTTTTCTCTTGCTGTCCCATGAAGTAAAGCTCAAAAACAGAGCTTTTAGGGTGCTTTCTAGTAGTTTTGCAATGACACAAGATTAAATTCTTTGACCTAAATTCTTAGACTGACAATATGGAGAGTTGTAGAGGTGACTGATCTTGTACCTAAAAAATAATAGCCCATCCGTGGTGAAAGGAGAGTATGCACCTTACAAGCTGCCTTGATGGATTTGGCAGTCTCAGGACAGTGCTGAAAGTCATGAAGCTGCATTTGCGGAAACAGTGATAACTGGCAAAATACACAACATAGGTTTTCAACTCACACATATTCTCTACAGATTTAAATTGTACCCCAACATGTGGTTGGGGTGACTAGCTTTGCCAATAAGAAGAGCAAGCAGGGGAGCAGGAAGTGTCTATAGGACATTTATCTGATTGTTTTTAGACAACAGTAAAGCCCATTTCACTGATGCATAAGCCAAGGGTTGAGGAAACTTGTCTGGTGCCACCAACAATTTAGGCATGCCTGAGTGACACCAAGCAAAATCCTATTTTCCTTAGGTTCCTTGCTCAGTTCCCTGGGGTTCCCTCAGTTTCAGGGTAACTGTATCTGGACAGTTAACTTCTTCAGCCCCAAATATTAGCTAGTGAGGTAAATAATTTCGGACTCACTATTCTAAAACTGTTGAGTTAGCAGATGTAAGAAGGTGGATTGTACCCTGTTGTGCTTTGCAGAGAAAATCCAAAAACAAGGAGCATTTGACAGCTGCTTGTGTTTGCTTCATTGGGACAGATAGCTGAAGACTAATTAAAAACATCACCTAAGTCCCAGTCTGCAGCTTTCTCTTCAGGCCTTATTCAGGAGCACTTGGCAGGGCTCTGATCCCTGAAGGAAGAGATACCCTGTTCTCCAAGCTCCCTGCTCAGCAGGATACCACTGTTGTTGGAGTGCTGAGTTTACAAGGTTGACATTAATCAGCTACACAAAGACCACAGTTTCCCTCCAGGAAGATTCTGTTAATTTGAATTCAGTGACAGTTTTTCTGCTTTACCCCAATAGAAAACCATCCCCTCTTCCAAGTCACTGATCCATGCTCCATCCCCACCCCTATCTGGAGGAGGAGCTTAGTGTTTCTCTCACCTTTTGGTTACCAATCAGGAAGGCAAGACTAGAACAGTGGGATGAGGGGGTGGGACATTATCTTAATCACACACTTGCTAAACGACATCACTAAAAAAATGCAAGACAAACTTAGAACATATTTAAAAAACACCATTTCAGGCACAATTACCATGATTTCAATAATTTTTTAGATATAAAGTCAGAAATGCAAACACAAATTTAGTAGTTATACTTCTGATAAGTCTTCCCAGACGACAAGCTGATGATTCTGTTAAATGAATGCAGTTTATGTCACTAAAGTGGAAACTTTCTATCCAAAGACATTTGATAAATGCATCCTTCAAATTGCCATCCTTTTGCTATATAACCAGCAGAAAAATTGAACCCTAGCTGAACACTTGCTTGCTAATTGGTCTAATGCTCCTACTGCATGTCACCATGTGTTATATTAAGGTACAACATTAATCCATCACTTTGTGTCTGTGCTTTTTAAGTATGTAATTCTCTTTTCCAATGTGAGTCTAATTTAATGAGTGAGGATGGAGCTACTTAGCTTTTTAAAATGCTGAAATTCTGGCTACCAAAAGAAGTTTGATTTTCATTATAAGTGAAGCAGGCTGTTCTTCAGAGAATTAAAATCAAGCAAAAGGAGAATGATTAAAATCCTTGTTTTCTCAAAAGAGGTAATAGTAGCATTTTGTAGAGTAGGATTGCGGGAGAAAAATGGCACATGGAAATTTCTAATAGGGAAGACTGGGAAATCCTGGCATGGGTGGTCAACACAACTATATTTTGTTCCTTGGAAGGTTTCTAAATGGACAGTAGGTTTCTCTCAATTTGGTCAAATGGAAGAACGGATCTGTAGATATAGGGCTACTTATACATAAAAATTAAAGTTTAAAATGCAGGCTGTGTGGTCCAGTCTTACAAGGAAGAAGACTATTTTGAATGCATGAGGTGAACAACTTACCTACCTGTGCTTGAGCAAGCCACTTAACTTCACTGCATTTTCGTTGTTAGACTGGGGATGCCAGACAAGGTGGTATCTTAGATGGTCTTCCAGCACTATGATTCATTTCCAAGTTAAACAAATATAGCCCCTCTCATTTCTGTTTCGAGCAGACATCCCCCACCCTCCCACTGCTCATTAAGTTGTTGGACCTGAGCCTAAATGGGCTAGAATTAACAAAGTGAAAGTTCACACTAAGCTGGATTATACAGAGTTGTTAGAATCAGCTGGGCAAGAAGAAACAACACAATTCATACCATTCAGTTAATTGTTTGGGATCCACTCACAGTTACACGAAGTTTTATGCTACAGTAAGAAATAATCTCCAGTGTTAGGTTAATACCTAAGGATCTAACGAAATATCAGAATGACTTAGCTTTATATTTAAAATTGATTAGAATCAGCCCCAAGTCAAATCACAGCACTCTTGTGTTGGCAAAAGGATCCAGCACAGCAAAAACATCAGGCTTATTTTGAAGAGGATTAAGGAGTATTTTCTTGGGGGCTGGAGATTTAGCTCAGCGGCATAAGCGCCTGCCTTGCAAGCAGGCAGTCGTGAATTCAATCCCCGGTACCGATGAAAAGGAAAAAGACAAAAAACAAAATTAAAAAAAAAAAAAAAAAAAAAAAAGAAATATTTTCTCTTCCAAGATCAGCTCCGTAAGCCTAAGAAGCTAAATTATGTTTGTTTTCCTGTCTTATACTGGCAGCTGCTCTGGGTTTTCTCTCGGAAGGCCTCTGTTTGTGCCATTCACCTCTGCACCCTCTGTCACCTGTGCGGGAACTAGTCTGTAGGTGCCACCAGAAAAATACCAAGGGCAGTACTAAGTTCTTGTAAATCAGCTTTCATAAAGGGATCTGAATTTATATGGCGCCAGTAAATGGGGAAGAATAACTTCAACAAATTTTATATAAACTTCATTGAGGTGTCATAATTTACTTATATTAATATGAGCATATCTTAAGGGTCCAGATTCTAAGTTCTGGCAAATCTTTACTTTTATGAAACTGCTTCACTCCCCAAG